TCCAATCTTATTATGCAGTTAGCATCCTGACAAACCCTTTTGGTCAAGAAACTAAAGCGTTGTTGTTGGCCTCACACTTTATTGCTTCTCTATTAATACATACTGCTTGGTTCAGATTCTCGCTTGTTTTGTGCAAAATTTCACTATGGGTTCAGAGATGGAAACGAAGAGAATTATAGCTATATGTATGTCTGGTGGCGAGTTTGTGACTGACAAGGATGATGGGTCTTTGTCATACAGTGGTGGGGATGCCTATGCAATGGATGTTGATCAGCAAACAAAGTTGAAGGATTTGAAGGAGGAACTAGCTGAAACTTTCAATTGTAGTGTCAATGGCATGTTAATCAAGTACTTTCTCCCTGGAAAGTCAAACAAACGGACTCTCATTACAATATCCAAAGATAAAGACCTCAAGCGCTTAGTGAACATTTTTGAGGATAAAGACCAAGTGGAGGTCTTCGTCATGGTAGAGGAAGTTGTTGAGACACGAAATGTGTTGAAAACTCCAGCCCGTAGGTACTTACTATTTCGTCCATGTTAAGTGTATATTTTGATAAGGCATATGCTACCCTTATCATATTTTTGGTTGCTATTCTTGTCACTTTGTTAAAATGAAGCTTGTCACATTTACATTGGCCGGTAGTACCGCTCTAGTAGTCTTCTAATTAACATGATTGACCCGATTGTGGATCATCTTCTGAAAATTGTATTACTGTCAAAAGTGAGTACTGTTCATCAGAATATTTATAGTCCGAAATCCGAATAATCATAAGTCCAGCATACATGTCCCTAGTTATTTGTTGTTCTGCAATGTGATTGTGAATGTAACCGATTTTTGAAATTGAGTGCCAGAAAAGTGTGATATCTACCTGTCCATTGTTTTGAATCTTATGGTACACTTGATCATGCAGGCCAAAGTCAAACAGGACAACTGTGTCGGAAGAATTGGTTCTTCCTTCTGCCCCTATCAGTGTATTTCCCGCTGATGATCCCATGGATATGGTTGCACCCATGGATATGGATGCACCCAATGAAACTGCACCTGGTGGTGGTCCTCTTGTCACCAATGATGACAAACACCGTAAAGCTGCGTTGGAGTGGTCGAATTCAATCACTGGTGTGGGCCAAAGATTTTGTAGTTTTAGAGAATTTGTTGAAGCTCTGCGAAAATACTCAATGGCACATGGATTTTCTTACACATATAAGAAAAAACACAGAGATCGTGTAACTGTCACATGCAAATCCGAAGGTTGTCCATGGCGCATAAGTGCATCAAGGTTGGCCACTACGCAGTTAGTCTTTATTAAAAAAATGAGCACATCACATAAGTGTGAAGGAACTGTCTTCAAAGCCAGCTATCGGGCAACACGGGAATGGGTGGAAAGTATCCTAAAGGACAAGTTGAAAGTTTTTCCAAATTACAAGCCAAGGGATATTGCAAGTGACATCGAACGGGAGTATGGCATTCAATTAAGTATCTCGCGGGCACGGCGTGCAAAGGAGAGCGCAAGGGAACAGCTTCAGGGCTCTTACAAAGAGGCATACAGTCAGTTACCCTTTTTCTGTGAGAAGATAATGGAGACTAATCCAGGTAGTCATGCTACATTCACTACAAAGGAGGACTCAAGCTTCCGAGGTCTCTTTATCTCATTTCATGCCTCAATAGCTGGCTTCCAGCAAGGTTGTCGTCCTCTCCTTTTCCTCAATAGCACTTTTATAAACTCAAAATATCCAGGAATGTTATTGGCTGCGACAGCAGCAGATGGGGATGATGGTGTTTTTCCAGTGGCTTTTGCCGTAGTAGACGTTGAAACTGATGACAACTGGCGTTGGTTTCTGTCGGAACTGAAATCTGCTGTGTCAACATCTCGACAAATAACCTTTGTTGCAGATTTTCAAAAGGGCTTGAGAGAGTCATTGCATGATATATTTGCTGAAGACTGCTACCATGGTTATTGTCTAAATTATCTTGCCGAGAAATTTAATAACGATTTGAAGGAGCAGCTGTCATATGATGCAAGGCATCTCTTGGCACAAGATTTATATGCTGCTGCTAATGCACTGAAACTTTCAGCTTTCGAGCAAATTACTGAAAACATAAAAGCTATCTCACCAGAAGCTTACAATTGGATTATACGTAGTGAGCCGGGCCAGTGGGCCAATGTGTTTCTTGGAGGGGCAAGGTATAACCTTATGACATCAAACTTTGGACGACCTTTCTATAGTTGGGTATCAGAGGCGAATAATTTACCAATAATTCAGATGGTGGATGTATTACGAGGTAAGATGATGGAGTTGATCTATAAGAGGCGAGTTGAATCCGTTCAATGGGTAACAAGGCTAACACCATCTATGGAGGAAAAGCTGCAGAATGAGACTTCAAACTCACGGTCACTTCAAGTGTTACCGGGACATGGCAGCATATATAATGTCCGGGGTGAATCTACTGAAATAGTTGACATCAATCATTGGGACTGTAGCTGCAAACAGTGGCAGCTGACAGGTCTGCCTTGCTGCCATGCTATTGCTGTTTTTGGATGTCTTGGTAGGAGCCCATATGATTATTGCTCCAGATACTTCACCGCTGAGAGTTACCGCTTAACATATGCTGAATCAATTAACCCCGTGCCAAATGTAGACAGACCAGCCCAGAGTGACCTGACTCTGGCAGCAATTACTGTAACTCCTCCACCAACCAAACGTCCACCAGGTCGACCAAAAATGAATCCTGCTGGATTGGCAGAGATAGTCAGACGCGAAGTCCGGTGTAGCAAGTGCAAGGGCATTGGACACACTAAGAGGTCATGCAAGTAGGTGTTCCACATCAACTCTCTCAATCTATATTCCCCTTGACATCATTGTTTGACAGTTAATGCTTGTGTGCTTGATTAGGACAGTTAGGCTCTGTTTGTTGATAGATCTATTGGTTTTGTTTGTTGTTAGATCACTTCTTTATTTTCTTGTCTTTGCACATCTTTGCTGGCGAGTTACTAGACTTAATATTTTATGGGAGCATATCCATAGGTAGTTGTAGAAATAGGGAGCTCGCTGGATACATTGTCTGCAAAACTTTTGTTTTTCCGAAAGAAGAACAAACCTTCGGTGAAAGAAGATTGAACCTTTGCAAATATGAAGTTTCTCTGTGTTTCGGTGGCAACTTTGTAAGGAGAGCTACCCCATGAATCTGGTCTTCTCTGCTGTTAGCCTACTTAAAATAGCTTATCCCTACCTAGTGTAATTTGTGCAATCAATTAAGCTCTTTTTATGCTGGTTATCGGCTAAGCAACTACATTATTGAAAATATATCTTGTTCCATTGTAATTGAACTACTATTGAGTACATCTTATACGATTATGATATGGCATATACAAATAGAATTGTCAATTATGCAGATTAGCATGAACACAAATTCAAAAATGTTACAATCAACTAACACGAATAGTATATGGGTCAGATAAGTGTTAGATATGAATCACCTGTTTAATTGATATTGCAAGAACAAAATAATTGTTTAATTTCTTATCTAGTATTGTATGAATTATTTTTAAATTGATTGATTTCTTACTAACACGATCATGACTCGAACATGACATGACTCGAATATGACATGACCCAAAATGATATTGATCCTTTTATGACTTCTAATTTTAATTTCTTGTTCAGTTTGGAGTTATTTTAAAAGTGGTAATTGAATTCATGCCTCACACTTTCTTTGTCTCATGTTTTCGCCTCTTAGACAATCAAATATAAAGCACATCAAGCACTCTATGATTCTGATAATTACAACTTTCAAACTTGATCTTTTGGGTGATGCTAATTTCATCTTCGAAATGAATCTCCAGTATCATTCCACTCAGAGTAATGGTCCATATCACTGTAACCATAAAAGAAGTGGGAATGATTGCTTCTGTTGCCTTGCTTCAATCTCTCCAAGAAAAGGAAAAAAAAGGCTTTTTGGAGTCCCTTGAATCAACATTTCTATTTTTATTATTTTCCTAATTGTTGAAAAGTAGAGTATGAATTGCTTTTCGGTATTCCTCTGTTAGTTGGGCACTTAATTCTTGTCCAGCATGTCTGCAGATTCCCCAACCATCCTCCTGACCTCCCCCCTTCTTTTTGGCAAATATGGAAATTTAGAAACTATAATGGTACAACACATATTAACATGGTCATCACATACTTGGATCATTACCCATATGAATAACAGTTCTTCCAGCCTGTTTGTGAATGAATTATTTTTGTTACCTCATCCAGTAAACAATAATATATAGATGCTACATAAAAAGACAGATATCTTGCATCCACCTTGGAAACCACCGCTTTTTGTGAGCCTGTAAGAACTCAACTTGTTTGTAGAGTCTCATGATTAACGAAAATGTTACATTTGTTGGGTAGAAGTCGGCAACACCTACTAGCAAGATCCTATTTTCTTGGCCGTAAGAAACAATATTGTGTTTCCCAGTAGGATGCTTTCACCTGGTTAGTCATTCCAAACTGAAATTGTTATTCTTACGCTCAGGGCGATACTAGGCTTTAGAAAATAATTAGGAACACCAATTTGTTTTGAGACAGCAGAGTTGCATGCACTTGATGCTAATTTATGCCAAAAATGTACTTGGAATCCTATTTTTGTTTATTATACACACCTGAAAGTTTTTTATACTTTTACACTAATGTGGGCATTGGAATAATTTGCGCAGAGCTGTACCAGTGATAGCTAATTCCCTGTAGAATTGCGAGAGTTATGCTTTCTTGATTTGCTGAGGATAGGTGAAGTTGCTTGTGTTACATTCCCCCACACAAAAGTCTCCAAATTCGGTTCGTGGTTAATCCAGCTGACGTTCAACCCATCACCTGCCGAACACCCCAACTGGTACTGCTATAATTTAATTTGATTTCTGTATTCGTAGGTTTGTCTGTGTACAATTTCTGCAAGAATTTAGGAGAAACTATAAAAGAAGTTCCATGCTCTATGAATTGTTGCATGTACAGAGATCTGCTTAGAATAGAATATTTATGAATTCCGGTACTGAATCTAAAACATTTTTCTGGTTAATCTTAGCTGATTTCTGCAACGTGGTCATAGCCTTTTGTCCCTGCAACTTTATATTCACCCGGAGAAGGGGTCAAAAAGTTCCTATTTATCCTTTTAAATAGGCAAGAATTGTTCGATTCATAGAACTTTTTGCGTTACAAAGTATATACAAAAGAAGTGGCATACTTAAGATTACAATGTAACAGAAGTGGTCCTCTCTGGACTTCCCTTTCAAGCACAAGCTTCCCTTCTTGGTGGAACCGCAAAGAAAACCTCCAAGTCAGGTGGCTGAAAATACCCATTCTTGGGCGGAGACCGCTTCTTCATGTAAACCGTCTTCTTTCTCGGAGGCGGCGGGCAAACCAGGTCTGCCGGAATCTGACACCCATCGTGTCTCGGCGTCCTGCAACCCTCCTCCACCATTGAATAACCATCACCCTCCATATCTCACCACCCCCTCAAATTTGGTAGAAACAACTACTATGAACTGATATTGTTAACTAGGACAGGGATAGATAGAAAGATAGATAGATAAATGAGTGATTTGTTTGTATATATAGTTGTATTTAGTTCATATATTGGGTGGTGGGTTGTCAATGGCATCGTGCCATGGCTTGTTCCGGAAGCTGCCATTTGACTTGACCTATCTAATCGTCTGGTGGAAGGCTGGAAGCAACTATTAAGCCAATCCTACGTGGCAGTAAAGCAGCAACTTTTTGCTGACGTGGAATAAAACGTGGCCAATTATCTATGGCTCTCTAAAAATGCGCGGGAAGGTTCTGGGAAGGAGTGGTTCGAATCTGGACCATTCATTTTTGGCGGCCGTATGACGATGATGATGATGGCTTTATTCGATTCTTGTCCTTTATTCTCTTTGGTGGGCCCAATGGATTGGGCCCTGAGCCATGATCATGATAGATGGATCTGTGTGGTGAGTGGTTTGTACGCGTGTAAAGAACTACAACCCCACGTGCTGCAGATTGGAGCCACTTTGGACGCACTTTTTATCCGCCCTTTTGTGATGCGATTCCTTGTTTGGTTGGTTTAGGGTGTTTATTGACTCGGCTTAGATTTAAGTTGGAGTTATAATTTTTAGGGAAAATTACATTGAGATTTTTTAAATTTGTCATTTAATCACTTAGAATTTGTGACATTTACAATATTACACATAAATCTCTTGAAGTTTATAAGCACGTGACACTTAAATATTTGTCGTCAATGTGTGTCAGTAAATTCATTAATAAAATTACACTCAAACTCTTTAAAGTTTGTAGACGTATAATATTTAGATCTTTTAAGTTTAAAATATTATATTTAAATAAAAAATAATCTAATAAAATATAGAATATCAAATATTTTAAATTTTACAACTAAAATTTATGTTTTTTTTTTGGAACCAAACCAAAATTTATGTTCAATTATGACATTTATTGAAATAAAATTTTAATTTTTTCTTAAAAATTCATAATTAATATACAATTATACTATTTATTGGAATTTAATTTGGTCATTTAAATGGTCAAATTACCTCAATTAAAGATAGAAAATATTGTGTCTATTACAGTTTGACCTTTTGTTTGATTTTTTTATTTTTATTTTAATAGATAGTATAATTATATATTAAATATGATTCTTTGTAAAAAAATATAGATTTTTATTTTTGATTTTATTTCAATAAATGAAATAATAGAACATGAATTTTGGTTGTAAAATTCATATTTTATTATGAATAACTTAGGTCCTTTGTTTAATTTTTTAATTTTATTCTAATAGATAATATAATTATATAATAATTATGATTTTTTTTTAAAAAATTTTAATTTTAATTTCAATATAATAGAGCATGAATTTTAATTGTAAATTTAAAATATTTGATATTTTATTTTTGATTGGAATATTTTTTGTCTAAGTATAACATTTTAAATTTGAGGGGTCTAAGTATTGTACGCTTATAAATTTTAGGGGGGTTTGTGTGTAATTTATTAATGGATAGATTATCGGAAGAGTTAACGGCAAGAGTCAAATTGTTACGCACGTACAAACCTTAAAACGTCTATGTGTAACATTTTAAATATCAGGAGAACTGAGTGATTAAGTGACAAACTTTAAGGGTCTGAGTGTAATTTTTTCTAATTTTTAATATAGATTTTAGAGTGATAATTTTTAATACAATTTGTCAATTGCTAATTTTTAATACAATTCGTCAATTGTATTATAAAAAATTGAATCAGTAAGGTTAGTAATATGAATTTAATTTTAACAAGTTTAAGTTAGATTATAAATTTATATAATTAAGTATAATACAATTTAAATTTCAAAAGATAAACAAAATAATTTTTATTTTTTGAGGTTGAAATCTCTTTAAATTTTACTTTAAAATTAATCAGATAGCTAATGAGATTAGGTTATGACTCACTTTTTTAAAAAAAAAAAATTTAACTTTTAGTTATAATATATTTTTTTTATTCTTTAAACCAATTTAACATAATTAAATGTAATTTAAACAATTAGAAAAAATTTCTTGTAATTTTCTTTTCTTTCAACAATAGAATGAAAATTAAGTTTTTCATGTTAATCAAATACATGCATAAAAATATATTTTCTATCATTTTATTTTCTTTCACTCCAATTTTTTATCATTTTTACTTTTCATTATTCTTTCCTACCTAATAAAACGGAACTTAGTGGTATTTTAAGTGGATTTTTCAAACACGTGATTGATTATTACATTATTGACAATCACAATATATTCCTTCCATAATTTTGGGTGCATTTATTTAGCAAAATAATAATACAAAATGAAAAAAAAAAGAAATTTTTAAATTTTTTCATGTGTTTAATTAGCATCAAATAAAAAATAACGTAGTAGTCACCTTTTTTCTTACAAAAAAAATAAAGAAAGTAGTGATTTATAATTTGAATTCTCACTAGTTCTTAGGGCAATAAAAAATGCAAAATAGAGAAAATGAAAAGAGTAAGAAAAATGAAAATAATTTTAGGCACGTTAAGGTGAGAGCTGCCTACCCTTCTTTTTTCTAAAATATTTATTTTGTTATTAATTTTTGAAAAACTTTTTATAATCTGGTTCAATTATAAAATCTAATTCAAATGTCTTAGGTTGGACTAATATTTGCCTTACAACTAGCCTAGGAGCTGATTTTCTTTTTCTTTTTTTTTTTTTTTTCAATTTTCAGTTATAATATAGTATTGTATTTTTCTTGTTTAGTCAAGTTTAATACTAAGGATAATTTAGATAATTAGGATGCTTTTTTGTTACTTTCCTACCTTTTAAGCAATAGAATTAAAGTTTTCTAAAACTTTAATTCTTACAAATTTTTTATGATAACTAAATGCTTGCATGAAATTATATTTTTTTCTTATTTATTTTGCTTCACTTTCATTTTTGGGTAAAATACATTAATAGTCCTTTAAGTATATTTTTTATATCAGTTTAGTCACTTTCATATTTTAATTATGTCAATTTGATTCTTTAACTTTTCAATTTGTGTTATTTTGATCTAATCGAAAATGGTAGTTTAAATTGACTAACGAAGATATTCACGTGACTACACTTGAGGGGTTACTTTGGTCACTCATATTTATAATTTATATTATTTTGGTCCTTCAAATTTATAATTTATTTCACGTTAATCCCTAAAGGTTTCAAAGAATGCGCTTCAGGTGTGATCACATGACGATCTCCATTATTAAATTCTAACTGCAGTTTTCGATTGGACCAAAATGTTACAAATTAAAAAATTGAGAGACTAATTTGATACAAATAAAAAATTAAAGACCAAATTGACAAAAAATGCATAATTTGAGCACCAAAAATGTATTTTACCTTTCAATTTTTATCATTCCTGTCTGGTTATAACCAGACGAGACATTGTTTGCAATTGAAGCATCAAGTTGCTAGGTAATATGGGGTCCAATAAGTCATTTGCCAAACAATCCCTTAACTTTCCTTCGGCGTTCCAAACTAAAATCGGCTTATGAAAACCGGTTCGACATACCCTCCCAAACTATCCGGTAGACGAAGAAGCTAGGGCAACCCAAAGCTTAATATTCATACCCTCCAGTCTCTCGGAGAGAAAAAGAGAGCATAGGAAGAAGAAGAAGAGAATGCCATTCATATCGAAAATACAGAGACAATCAGATTACAGTCTCTTCCCTTCAACCTGTCCCATCGTCATCGACAATGGCGGCTCCTATTTCCGTATCGGGTACACCACAACACAAACAATACCCTGGAATTTATTGTGTATCTTTTATGAATTTTTTGGTTTTTTTTGGGCTTTATGCATAATTCTACTGTAGCGTTGTCACTTCCGACTCCAATTTTGTGTTATGATGTCTTCATGGTTGATTGTATACAGATGGGCGGGAGAGACAGACCCTCGCGTTATCTTCCGAAACATCGTTCAGAGGCCACGCCACAAAATCACCGGTTCGCTCACTTATATTTGTATTTAATTTGTGTTTGAGTAATTTTGTATTTCTGTATAAATTTACTTATTGAGGCTTAAAGTGTGCAAAATCTGAAAGTTATGGCACAAACCTTTTTTTTTTTCGTTTTTGAGTTCAGCAAACATGTAGCTTCACTCTAACAGCTGCACTCGTCTGCCTAAGCCATAGAGTTCTGCAACCTCCTATGTAGACGTGAAAATCGGGGACCTCTCTAATTCTCCTATTAACAAAAAAAACGTATACTAATTCATTACTAGGCAGATAAAAGGGTTGTACATATTCTGTTATTAGAGAGAGAGAGAGAGAGAGAGAGAGAGAGAGTGATGCTGAACATATCACATTGTATAATTAAATTCTTTGGTGGTACCTATAATTGTGACGCTTGCAGTCTTTCTCGACAACTTCCATTTCTGATCTTATCATAAATATGCATCTTTTGGATAGTTTATTGGTTGGAAAGGAACCTTCTTTGCATTCTAGAGCAGACAAAGGACTGCACCATATTTGCCATAGTGCTATTAAGTTCCTACACAAGATTATTCAGTAACAGTAATATTGCAGTTTCTGATTCTCATATTGTTAATTAAGATTTCAAATGATCGATCAATGACAAGACATAGTTGAGGAGAAAACAATAATATTGCAGTTTGTAGTTCTCAGAAATTGGCATAAGATATCAAATTATCATTGACAAGACATAGTTAAAGATGTACGACCTTTTTTGGTAATTGATGATGTAACAGATCCTTGCATCTACTGGAAGATGGCCTCGGAAACCTTGCACTCATATTTGATAATAGCATACTAATCTGGAAGAAGTTGTAATGCCAGATTGAACTGGATTAGCCCTCTTCAAAACGGCTGGAAATAAGCCCCGCACAAAAAAGGATGGGGTGCTAATAAGAGTGCAGTACTGCAGTATGTCCCTAGGTTTAGCTTTTTTTGTTGCCTAGCTTAAATTTTTGTCCCCCAAGGATAGACTTATCCAATTTCAGAAATCAGAGATTAGATATTCGCTGCATATTTTTCCCGGGCTCAAGAGTAGAATGATATAGTTAAATAATTGTTATTATATACAATGGGCTTGTAAGTAAAATAGCAGGTGGTACTATGGGCTACAAGATGATGGCATAAGTGGAGTCTTTGACCTTTCTCCATGTGAATTTGTAAGTTTTTATTAATTGGAAATCAAGTATTTTACAGTTTTTTTCTGGTAATAGCATTCTTGAACAAAGTCCTTTCTGTTTTATCTAGTTGCTCTTCCTTTCCATGAAAGAAAGAAAGGAAGTGATAATGTGTCACTTCCCACAAAAGAATTTTAGCTGTTTGGCCATTGTGTGAATCTAATTTGAATGCTGTGTTATAATGTTAGTAAATTTTTGAGGTTGGGTTGGATGAATTATCCATTTGTTGCAGGGCATGTACTCTTTATTATAACTTTATATAAAACCCTGTTCCTTATCATAAAAACAAATGTTGATTCAGGTGAAACAGTCACAATAGTTGGTGATCATGATCCTGCATTATTGAAATACTTTGATTGCACACGTTCAGGACCTCGTTCGGCTTTTGAAAGCAATGTTGTCTATCAGTTTGAGATAATGGAATATGTAAGCTAAATTTAGCCTTATCTGCGATTGATTTGCTTTGAATGTCAAATGGGTTGAATCGTCTTTCTACATAATTATATTTCTTATGTAGGTTTTCTTTCTCTTATGGGAAGAATTTGTTGTCTATCATAACTTCAAATGTATCTCCTGGAGGGCATATATTTGTTGTAGATTACATAATGAAAAACAAATAAATTTGTCTTATGATTCATCAAATTATATGAGTGAAACCATGCATCAAAAGAGAGCTATATAAAAAATCAATGGCTGTGTTACTGTAAAGTAATTCTAGATTCCGATAGAAAATATGCAATTTGAGCCTTTATTGAATCTAAAACATTAATAAACAGAATTAAAATAGAAGGTAGTGCATACTGTAGATTATCAGCATTCACCAGGAAATATCTGGAATATTTCTCCCCCTTTTCCCTTGCTATGATAAGCATTGGAACTTGCCATTTCTTAAGACATAACCTTTTCCATTATTTCTCAAGCATGTGGGAGTTCATTATGTAGTTTCCAATTTTATGTCATATACTTAACTTTACTGGGAAAGGAACTGATCTTGGATAGTGTATTGTGCTAAAACTGAGTGCTAATGAGCACACCACTTTGTGCTATGTTGTTGGATGACTGACTTGTTGAGCACAGACTCTGTATCTTTGAATGAAGAGAAACTCAGTCTAAGCTCTGTGAAAATTGAGCATGGATTAGGAATTGCAATGAAGGAATCTGTTTGACAAGCACTAATTCACATTGCTTCTTTTTCGGTCTGTTGTACTAGAAATGCTATTTTATATGTTGTCCTGATTCCTGAATCATGCTTGCAAATTTGTACAATATTCTATGACTAGATGGTTAAGTGAGAATAACAAAGCCTTATAGATCAGTGGTAATTAGTTATGTAATATTAGTTTTTTAGTCTCACTTTCTATTTTTGCATTTGTAGATTCTTGACTTTGGGTTTGATCGGCTGGGTGCAGATCGGTCACAGGTACTTCTACGTTTTTTTTTAGTCCATTGCTTGGTTATCTTAAGGGGCAAGAGTATTCCACAGTAATCCATAATTAATGTACTGTAAAATTAATTCAGTTTCACTTCAGTGGTTGTCTGTTTCACATCTTCTGTTTCTGCTATGGCCTTCTTCTCTGACTGATAAAGGCAATGATGATTAGGGTTAATTATGTTGTATTTATCATTATTGCTGTGGATCTTTATTCTTTCCTGAACTGCATCAAATAAAAATCTCATTTTTTTTTATTTTCATAATTTGGTTCAAAGCCACAGGTTACATGTACTAGAGTCGATTGGGGATTGTTGATTTTTAAAGTTTGAATGTTTCCTGTTAAATTTGAACTTACATCTGGCATTTGGAGATGATGGGCATTTCCCTATCTTATGTTTTTAGCCATAACACGGGATAAACAAATTTGAAATGTAAAATGGAGTGATCACCAAATATGTAATTGACAACATAACTTGAAAGATGACCATATACTGCAATTGTGCTTGATCTGGATTTGAGGATGTTGGAGGGCTGATAAGCTCCGTGTTGATGCTGTGACGAAGCAATTTTATATACTTGAAAATTTGAAATGTTGTGGAAAGCAAATTGAAAGTACTAATATCTTTCCAAATACCTCATTCTTCATGTGAAATTTAGCTCTGTGATATCATGTTTTTCCTTTGTGCTGCACATCTGGCTCAGTTTACGGTAGAGTGATTTGATATCATGATTCTAAGGCTTGACTTTGCTATATTGACAAGAACTTTTGTTCTCTTTGATGGCAGAACAGGTTGACCATCCTGTCCTTATTACTGAATGTGCATGCAACCCAGTGCAGTCTCGCAGTAAGATGGCAGAACTGCTTTTTGAGTCTTATGGAGTGCCTTCAGTAGGTATGAGCACTTGCTGTTGGTTTTGTTAAAGCCATTTGCATTTCTAACCAGAACAAATCAATCCAGACAATACATGAATATTTCACCATTCTGTTTGTCAAGGACCATTTGCTTAGCCATTCCATGTCTCTGTGGACCAATTTATTACATGATATGCTTGGTCTGTTATATACAAATTAGGATCTGCTAAGTTTTATTATCTTTAAGTTGTCTGTAGCATTGACATGTGTGTGATTAGCTGAAGTTGATGCTTTTCTGTTCGTATAGGTATGCTTGGTTATCACTTCAGATATGTTTGTACCCAGAGATATTTTCCTTTATTTTATTGAACTCACATAGGTACACGGGCATTGTTAAATTTATTATGTCTGATTCATGTATATAATATTTGAATGATCACAGCATTCGGTGTAGATGCTGCATTCAGCTATAAGTATAATCAACGACTTGGGATTTGTGATAATGATGGCCTTGCCATCTGCTCAGGATTTTCCACAAGTCATGCTATTCCGGTATGCTTTGCTAAACTCAGTTTCTGCATATGGTATTAATCATACTGATTTTTTCCAGAATAGAGTTGGTTATTGTTTTATTATTTGCACAGCAATTTTATTGTCAGAATTGTAATTATAAGCGGGTGGACAAGCTAATAAATTATATGCTTGTAATTTTTGTTATGCTTCTACGGTATTTGTAATTGTAATGACTATCATTATTGATGTTATTTTCATCATTACTAGTGGTTGGGATGCTTGCTTTGTTGTGGATCAACTACTAGTGCATAATGATGGTTCTCTGTGTGTGCCTGCATGCACGTTTTTACGTGTAAGTTTTCTGCATGTTTGCACTTCTGAGAGTGCACTCATGCATGCACAGCGTCACATGCACAAATGGTATTATTGTCATTTTGATGTGGTCCACCATTTTCTTGTCCAATCTGGAAAGATCCGTAATCCGGCTCTCTTTTGAAAATTCTAGAATGGTTGATGTTGATGAATTGCCAAAGCTGTGATTTTTAATTGTTCCTGTTTGTTTGATGATTTCAACAATGATGAGAATGATGTATGCTTGTTGCACTTTCAGTTTATCAGTGGAGAGCCTGTTTATGCAGCATGCTGCCGAACTAATGTTGGTGGATACCATGTCACTGATTATTTGAAGCAGCTTCTTTCACTTAAATACCCACATCACATGTGAGCAGCACTATCCATATTCTCTACATTTTTCATAGGAATTTTGACTTTGACTTCTAGTTTTATTCTTAAAATGCTCAATCAGGTCAAGGCTTACATGGGAGAAGGTTGAAGACCTGAAAATGGAACACTGTTATATCGCACCTGATTATGCTTCAGAAGCCAAATTATTTCAGGTAACAAGCTTGTTGCTCTTCCTGTAGCCGCTCTATTCTCTCTGGTATGAAGATCAAGTTCTGTAACTATTGCAACAGAATGGGACCAAGGAAGCTGAAGAAAAGACAAGGTGTTGGCAGCTCCCATGGACACCATCACCTATTGAGGAGCCTCCATCAGAGGAGGAGATTGCCAGAAAGGCTGCTCTAAAGGAGAAACAAGGTCAAAGGTTGCGAGAAATGGCCGAGGCAAAGAGGTGTTCTAGGATTAATGAACTGGAAAATGAATTGAAGGGCTTGGAATTCCTTTTACAGCAGCTCAAGCATGTGGAAGAGAATGCCGTCCCATCTTTCCTTTCAGCAACTGGATACGTCTCGAAAGAGGAAATAGAATCTGCAGTTGCGAAAGTAACACAGTCTTTACGGAAAGCAAAAGGTGGACAAGTTGAAAGTGAGGAGAAGGCAGATCCCTCTGCAGCTGAAAAGTATGCTCTCATTGACATCCCTGACAACATGCTGACACCAGAGCAGGTATTCTCCTACTGTCAATATGGCTGCCCATAAGCCTATTCACGCTAAACATGATCGATGTTGGCTATATGCATAAGTGACTTGTATGAAATCTGAGGAGGATTGCTGAATGCGATAACATGACTCTTAATTGCATTGCAGTTATATTCAAAGCTTGAGTCAGCCTCCTTTCCATTATTGTGTAATGTTAATGTCGGTCACTGTTATTGTTTCTATATCATTCGGCTTCTTAATATTGCTAACTTTGAATGTTGGATGTTTGTGGTCGTCCTGACAGCTCAAAGAAAAGAGGAGGCAGCTGTTTCTCAAAACCACATCTGAGGGCCGGCAGAGAGCTAAACAGAAACGATTTGAAGAGGAATTAGAACGAGAAAGGCAAAACAAACGAGATGAAGAAAAACGCTTGTATATTACTAGGCTCATTAAGACATTTATATTTAATCAAAATAGATATCTTCCTTACATGTCAAATGTTTGAGGAAGAAAAGCATTCATATTTCATTTGGATCCAGATATAGTTAGTGCGTTTAATCAGTGGAAAGGCTTGTATGCTCAATAGATGTTGATGACGTTAGGTTTTATGGGATGACGTGAGTGGATTCATTCGATTTTGAAATTGCTCAGTTGTACCATCTCTTTGCTCATTGTTCCCTTTTCCTTTCCCAATGTAGGGAGAACCCAGAGCTTTATTTGGAACAGATGCATGCTAAATACAAAGAGCTTTCTGAGAAAGTTGAGCAACGGAAACGACAAAAGACAAATGGCGGCCACACAAATGGAAATAATAATGGGTCTGGAGGTGTTGGCCGCGGGGAAAGATTGAATGCTGCCCAGAAGGAAAGGATGCGCCTCTTGACTACGGCAGCATTTGATCGAGGGAAGGGTGAGGATACTTTTGGCATCAAAGATGAAGATTGGCAGCTGTACAAGCTGATGAGCAAAGATAATGATGAGGATGATGAGGGACCAGACGAGGATGAAGCAGAGTTGGCCCGCATCTCTTCTAGGCTCCGGGTGAGTTTTTTTTTTTGTATAATGTGTATTGTATTTTCTTCTATTATCAACTTATCCCAGTTAGTTATCTTGTGGGTTATTTATCAATTCCTCGGTTGTATACTTGACAGCAAATAGACCCAACTTTTGTATCCAAATCAGAGTCAGGGTCCACTGCTGAAGTCCCACGTTTCCGTCCTCTCTCCAAGGAAGATTTCCAGATTATGCTTGGAGTAGAAAGATTTCGATGCCCTGAAATTCTATTTCGTCCCAACTTAATTGGGGTTGACCAGGCAGGGTTGGATGAGATGGCTGGTGTTTCAATAAGGAGGTTACCATCAAAGGGCCAAAGTTTGGAGGAGAGAATAACCAATTCCATCCTTATGACTGGTGGGAGCTGTCTCTTCCCCGGTATGGATGAGCGTTTGGAAGCTGGAATCCGCATGATTCGGCCATGTGGGACGCCAATACGAATCATCAAAGCATCCGATCCTATTCTTGATGCTTGGCGTGGTGCTGCTGCTTATGCTGCTGCCATGCAATTCCCACAGCAAACTTTCACAAAGATGGATTATTATGAGAAGGGTGAAGATTGGCTTCGCAGATATCAACTGAGGTACACAATCTGATTATTGGCCTTCAAGGGATGATAATTATATTGGGCATCTGATGGTGGGGCTAAACCACAACTTGAACAACCTTTTCTACTCCTACATGGATTCTGCTGTATGCTAACATTATCACAAGGCTTGCCCCTTGTCTGTCAATTGCTTGTGACAGTGGTCTACCAGGAAGAGGAAACATTTCACGTTGTCCAGTTTAAATTGCGTTGCTCGCTCTCTCAACTTTATATTAGCATAATTTTGACGGTTTTGTAGCATGAAATTATATGCTGATCACGTGATTTTGTGTAGCCTTTAGGGCTACGCAAGGCTATTTCAACGTCTTTTGGACTCATGAGGACAACAATAAAAACTCTGGATATACACAATCACCTTCAGGACACATTGGATAAATCATGGGACTCAGACCTTACATCTGTCAAAACTTTGTATTCGAGCCAACGCATGGGTTCAGTGTGGAGTGTGCAGCTTTGATTTGGCTTAGAAATTCAAATTAACTCATTGAAAATAACATGGAAAGTTGGTGGAGAAGCAAACTCAATTCTTATTAGCATTGATCGAATAATAAAGCAATGAAGTACATTTTAGCAATGCGGTTAACATGGACCCCCAAATATATTTATAAACTCAGTATTTCAATTCCAGCAAGCATCAACAAAAAACATAAGATTGAATGCCTTACGAAACCGCGAGAAACAGAAGAAAATCATATCGAGGCCCTGATGGTATATCGAGGTCCTCGATTACCTCTGCTGGAGATAAATCTATGCAATTCTTTAAGCAATTTTGCCTGCTCTGCCCCAGAAACAACCATCTAAAAAGAGTCGATTCCTGCACCTGTTGCACTACCGCAACCCCTGGCAAATCAAATAGATCTCTCTGGAGCATGATCTTGTAGCTTTGGGCCGCAACCATGAAGCCTTTCTAAAGAGGGGTTTACAAATCTGATTGAATTCTGCAAATCAAACCAGAGGGAAGAAAGGTACATATTATATAGCAACAAAAATCACCAGTTAATAGAATTAAGTACCCACCTTTTACGTCTTCGCTCTCTAGAAGCTTAATGACTAGGTGACCCCCAAGTTGCAGTACACCTCCATCATTCTGAACAGAAGAAGAGCTATCTGATTGCCCCTCTACTTGAAAGTTGTCATCTGATTGAACTAAGGCAGCCCCTCCAACAGCCAAATTAAGTGCCTGCATCCCTAACTCGGCAGATAAAGCTGCATCTTTGGTTGCGATTCCAGAAACAAGGGGACACATATCTGATAGTATAACAGAAAAACCTTTCTGCTGCAAAATAGGCAATCAATAGCATATTAGTTCTGTGCTTGGTGTCCGCATACACACATAGATGGCCAAAGGCTACTAGTTTGCCTCAAGAAATTCTGATGTGCATTCTCTGAAAATTGTGGTGCGACCAAATTGAGAAAAATGTAGGTAAACCATATTTTAGGCACTGAAACAGCTAATAGCAAATGGTACCCAGTTCTCTTTCTATCATCAGAAGAAATATAATTCCACCCAACAATCATTGTCCATCGAACACCATTACATGAACCAAGAGGAAGGCTCCAACTCCATCTTGGACAACAAAAGCACTCGCACACCATGCACATTGTGCACATGCATACACCCACTCAGAGCACTCACCTAAAGAAGGCAAGAGGAATAAACGACACCAATACAAATAAGACTAGAATCAGGCTACAGATTCATCTGTGACTTAACCCAGTCGTTTATGAGTAATCAACTTAGCACTCCAATCCATTAATAACTAGACAGGCTTATGGACAAAGATAAATTGAGTGAAATTACAATCAGGCAATAGATACATGCCCTACCTTAACCAACGTTGATTACAACAATTCAGCTGAACCTTCAACTCCATAAACAACATGATTATATAATTTTCAAAACAACCAAGATAATTGCTACAAACTTTTTTCCTTCTCAAAACATAGAGTAACTACATGCACATGGAAGACATTGTAGGGCTTAAAAGTCAGAACCCAAATAAAGTACACCAAAAGGGCCACAGAATTCAGTGAAATATTTCAGATGCTACGCAAGAATAAATGGAAATAAATGGAAAAACCAAGTATTCCATATGCATTCGACATAGAGACATTCAAATTCAGTTTTCACGAATGTGCAAAACATATATTTATGGAAATGCTACCTGAGGAGATAGTGCTCTAACTTGGCCCCGGGGGAGGTTCATGACATTAGCACAAACAGTTTGGACCCTTGCATCACAGTGCATAGAAGGGACCTTCACCTTCTGTTCTGCACATCCCCAAAAATTTTAAGAAAACTACAACCCAGAAACCCCTTCCTCTGAACAATCACAACTAAACACACAACTATTGTACTCATAATCATCATAGCCGTCCACATACAAACAGAAAACCAAACACTCCTGAACCACCAAAATTGATAATTCTAGTGATAATTACCTTGAGATCAATTCCCACAACAGCTCCCCCATTTTTTGGTGGACCCAAGCTCTGACAAGCTACCTGTATTGAAGGTTAAACAACATCACAATGGTTTTCATGAAATCAACCAAACATGATATGTTCCTCATCATACTTCCAACAATTACGTACACTCAATGATGTGTATACATACGCAAATATACAGAGGTAGATAGATAAACATAGAAAGAGGGAGGGAGGGAGGGAGAGAGACAGACTTGAAGCCAGGCACCAGGAGCACAACCGAGGTCGAGAACAGATGAACCTGGTGTTATAAGTTTGTACTGCTTCTGCATCTGAAGCAACTGTTTTTCCCCAAAAACAACAACAATATAAGCAAAGTCATACACCCATTTGTGATTTTTTTTTTCTGTATTCATTCACCATGTGTGCGATTTGTATGTGTAATCAAGAAATGTGAGCAAATAATCAAAGAAAAGGGAAAACTTCGTGTGTGTGGAGGGAAGGGGGGGGGGGGGGGGTGAGAGGTGACCTTAAAGGCAGAGCGAGCAACAAAACCAAGTCTTTGAGCCTCTCTATAGAAGAAATCGGGTTTTCCTGCCCCGCTCATCCTCCTCCTCTTCCCTTCCTTACCAAAACCCATGTGAGATGAGCGAGGGTTTTTGGCCTTTTGCCACCCCCAAAAAAAAGCAAAATTTAAAGGGAATACATTAATTAATTCCATTGCCGGTATTTGAACTCGGGTTGCCTCGTTCAAATCACACTTCATACTTATTCTCATACCAAATAACATAGGGATGATTACTATAATATGTCATATTTATTTAATTTACTCATATAATTCTTATGTTAACTAAGTTTTTAATTTTTTTTATGTCAATTGAGCTCATGAACTCTATAGTTTTGCCAATTAAACCCTTTTATCTATCTTCGTTAGATTGAGAAAGTGACAAAGTGTGATATTCGCGTAACACAAATAGTTGAAATAAATTATATATATAATCCTCAATCTATGACTCTTACGTGTCATATAGTCACGTGGGTGACACATTTTAACAATAAAAAAGTTTAATTAACACAATTAAAAAGTTTAAGCGATCAATTAACACAAAAAATAAAAATAAAAATTAGGGACTTAATTAATTTAAATGTCATAGTGAATCATATGTTTAATTTACTCTATTACCTTATTAGATAATGATATAATGAGGGTGAAATCACACTTACATCAAATATTTACTCCTAAACCGGACCGGACCACAATGGATTTGCACTTTGCTCTTAATTTCTTCAGTAATTATAATAATTCACTTTAAAGCTGAAAAAAGGGCATAACTTAAAAACTTGTTCTTTTTTCCTTTTTTCTCATTTGCAGTAAATAGTGATGTATACAAACAGTACATGTCTTATACCTTCCAAAGCATTAATTCCTTGCGAGCTTCCTTCACATTTCTACAGACTGTTACTATTTACCTATACATGATCACTGACTATGCATATGGACATAAATATGACGAGCTCCCAGGTTGCTCTGCTGCAAGAGGATTTTTCCTTTTTCCTCTTATGGGCTTTCGCCTCTTTTGTGGATTTACTCACAAAAGTATGCATGTTGTTCTGGTGTTATAGCCAGTTTAAAGGAACATGGTGGCTATCACTAGTCATTCTTCCATTGAACTGGTTTTAACTGGTACTGCTCACTGCATCTGGTGTCTGCATAGCACAAGGATAAGAAGGCACTAGTTCAAAATTCTGCTCCCACTTAACCCTCTAAGTAAACAAAGTAAGCAATACTGACATTAAGTTCTTACAGATGACAATACGGAAAAATAGTCCAGAAACGGATCAATACCTTGCTCCCAACATTAATAAGCATTGACAAGTTAATATGGCACAACGAGGAAGATGCCCAGCAGGAAAAGCCTTCAACTCGTGAGTGGTACTGAACATGTGTTCAATATGCTGGCCTCCAAGAAGATAGTGCATATACAATCCGTCCCTTCCATCCCTGCAGCATCCATTGGCCATCTTCATCAATTACAAAGTCTTTGTGGTAGTACGACTTCACCCACTCTTTGGCCATCTTCTTGATCTCCTCATTCAAAACGAGCTGCCTAAACCCCGCCCTCAGGTTCCGAACTTGCCACTGCTTGTATGTCTCTGGCCTTTCAACCCTCTCAGCAGTTTCACAGGCAATGACATTCATTGCCTCCCGTCCAAAAATTATCTTCTCAATAAGTCCCCTCTCAGGAGTTTCACGGGGAATATTAGTCTCAAGCATATCAAACAAGGCAGAGAAGTGAAAAAGAGCCTCCCGGAATCGTGTGATAAAGAAAGGGGAATTATAAGCACCATTTACAATACCCTGTATGAAAATATCTGGATTCATTTTCCTGATAAGGTTCAGAACAATATCCCTTGGACTGTTCAACACCACGGTCTCATCTAATAGATTCCTAAATCTGTAGAGACAGTTCACTACAAGCACCTCATCTTTGTCAATCTTAAGATCCTCTATCTGAATTGTTTCCCACTTTTGTGCGATTCCATTGAACTCAAATGGAACTTTGAAGGTCTCAGCATAATTAGCTAAGCGACGACCTGTCTCCTCAACCCTCTCTGATGGTCGAAACCCTGGATGCGGAAAATCAATCCCAGTGATTCGAAGCTTGGGAGGTCCATCACGCCGATTTGAGAGACGTTGTATGAGGGAAGGCCACTGGAAGCCATAAAGCATACCAAAATCAATAATGTGGAGTCTTGTTGCATTTTCAGCTACATTCATAATTGTCTTATTTGAGAACAAATTAGAGATCTTCCTAAATGGACTGGCAGCTAGATACAGATGGTAAGCTTTCAAGACATCAGCAGCTGACGTTGGCATAGTAATAAGGTCTCTGTAAATCTGGGTTCCAGATCCAGCCATACGTGCTTCAAGACCACCAGCAAAATAATGTGCCAATCTTTGCATGCCATCCCCTGTGGGAGACGAATTTTGCCTGATTTGCTTCAGAAACTCAGTTGCAGATCTTCGATCATCAGCTGTAATAGCTTGTGCACAGAGGGTCAAGAGTGTTCTCAAATCCACCACATCTCTTTTACCTCCCTTCTTACCACGGGCCTTCCCACCATTAGATCCTTTTGATTGACTATTTTGTTGCTGAACTTTACTTGTTTCGTTCTGCAGAGCTTCACGAAGGGCAGATTCCCGTTGCCCTGCACTACATAGCAGCACCATATCAAACAGTTCTGATCTCACAGTCGATTCAGTGTAGACTGCTGACTGCTTGTTATTCCTCCCTCCTTCAAGATACGAATCTATGAGATGACGAGTCTTCCTTCCCCTCAACCCAACAGCGGAGTACTCATTCTCATGTTGCTGCTCCATTTTGACTACCACACCCTCACTCTCTTTCTTCTGCTCCTTTGTCAACAACCCACTATCCCCCAAATTAGCAAAGAAACCACTGGCATTAGGAAGGAACTTAGTTGCTTCCTCAACCCCCTTTTTAAACTGCTTAACAGACTGGCTATCACTAAATACATCAGGAATTCTAAGGGTACTCACAGGTGAATCCACAGGCCCATCACTGACAGTACCAGTGCTACTCGAAGAGCTGCAGGAAGACTGAGAAGTGAACTGGGAAGTAAGGTCAACAGAAACACTTTGTACATAGGGTGCCTCGTTTTCACTAAGATCCAGATTACAATTCAAGCATGACAAGTCTCCATTACCAGCAATGACACTACCACAAGACAAATTGCAATTTCCAACATAATTTTCATCTGGGCTTTTGGTGTTTTGATCCATATCAGGAATTGGGTGGTGATCAGGCGAAGGAGGGTATTTTTCCCCAATGACCTCATAGAACGATTTCTCAGCAGCTTGAAGGGCCGCAGACTCTTGAAACATACATGCCCTCTCTTCCATATCTTCTTCCATAAGCATCTGGCTTATGTACTTAAGAACCACATCACTCAAATCACAATCCTCATGTGAATAACAGTCTGAATCCCCGATATACGACTGGATTGAACTACTAGAGTTTAAAGCAGTAGGAAGTGAGGAAACATCCACAAAGCCTTGATTCATAACCGTGTTACCAGCTTTGAAATCATCCACCAGATTCTTATCCAAAAAAAATATATTAGTTTCATCATTGAGTTTGATTCCATTCCCCGAACCATAATACCCTCTCAAATCTCTATCCATACAATCTAAATAAGCAGTAAGTCAAAGAAAAGTTGTAAACCCAAGGTCGAAAATTCACCACCTTTTGAAGAACTCCTATTGAACAATAATAGCCAAACATTAAAAGATAAACACCACCTCAATCTTTCTATATCTCTCTTCCCCAATCTTCCAGCTTGTATATAGAGAAGAATTTCACAACCTGAATTTTGTATGTCAAAACCAAGAAATTTAAAACATTGAACAAGTGACATATACATAGAACAAAATTGAAATTGGATAGACAAAACGAGATTTTTCAAGCGACAAAATGTACTAGAAGCATAATGAACAGATAAAGTACTTAAAGGCTGCATATATTCATCTCTATATGCGCTACAACTAGAGCACAAAAAAATTCAAGCTAAGCACAAAAAGATGGTGCTTTTAGCTTCACAAAACCAAAAGGGTATCAACCAATTTCGGTACATGTGCATATAAAGACATATATACAGGGGATTGGAAGTGATTGATTTTGTATAGAAAGATGGAGTACCTGAGGGCAGCCCTTGAGACACCAGAGAGAGAGAGAGAGAGGCGAAGAAGCCGAGTAATGAAAAGTGTCGTTGAAATGAACAAGCCTCTTTTTTGACCTTTAAGCCAAAAAAAAAGGTCTCAGGATATTACTGGAACGCCAATCTCAGCCGTCAATTGTCCAAAATTCTGCTGTATTTTTCTGGTTTTAGTAAATGTAAAATTGGATGGGCATGTATTTACAAAAAGAGAACCCCAACGACAGTCGACAGACATAAATTCATCAACCTTTTAAGGTGAGAGGTCGGGCCGAGATATTTAACAAAAAAAAAAAAATAGATTCATAAAATATACAATTGACAAAAAAAAAAAAAAAATGAGGTTATTTAAAAACTTCCACCCCTATTGAACTAAAGACAATGAATTTCACTACAGTAAAATGCACTGCAGTGTACTAAAAAACTTACTGTAATTTGTAATATATTATAGATGGAAGAAATGCTTGAACTAAACGACAGGGGACTTAACAATGAACTAAAAAACTTAATGTATTTTATTATATATTATGGATATAAGAAGAACATGATTTTTAGTTCATTGTCTTTTAGTTTACTGTTGTGTAATTAGGGCTGGGGGGTGGTGGTGGGGGTCCGGGTTGTGGTGGTGGTGGTGGATTTTTAGAAGAGCTAGATACCTATGAGAAAGACAATGATTCTTGATTGGGTAAAATATAAAGACACAAGAGATAATATTATCATTTAAAAAAAGAGAAAAATTAAATTGGACTACATGACAAAAAATTTCAAGACCTCACATCTTAAAAAATACACAACTTAACTTATTTATAAATTAGGTAAAAAATTAAAATATATCAAACATTAATGCCCCTTCCCTCTCCGATAAAGGAGAAAATATTCACTTTAAAGATAAACTACAGTGATACTACCAAATCACATCTCAACCTCCAAATTACATGTCTTTGTAATTAATCAAACATGGATATGAATTAAATTGACCAATAGACAATATAATAATTTATAAAACAAACATATGGGTGATAATAGTGATGAATCTATAGGTTCCATATGTGTATACTAGTTATTCTCTGTGACTGAAGACACATATTAATAAAAAAATGGTCAGTATTAAATATATTTATATTCACATCTAAAATTAAATTACAAATATAGAGAATAGAAAAATGAATTTAAGCACCGATCATAATAGAAGTGAACGATAACAATGATAGTGGTGACGGTGGTAATGTTGGTGGTGGTGAGGCGATAGGGGTAATGGTGGTAGGGATGATGGTTGAACAGTGGTAATGGTGGCAGGGTGGAGGTGGCAGTTATGGTGGTGGTAGAGGTAGTGGGGATAGTGGTGGTCGGGGCGATAGGGGGTGGTGGTGATGGTGGGTTGACAGCAATAGTAATAACGACGATGGTGATAATAAGGGTAATGGTGGTTGTTGTGACAGAGGTGGTGGTAGAATGACAATGGTGGAGTGACAACAGTAGTGTTGGTAAGGAGTGGTATGGTGACGATAACAATAATGATGGTAAAGGGTGAGGGGTGGTAGTAGTGGTGATGGTAGTGGTGGGGTGGTGACATTGGTGGTGGTGGTGGGGTGGTGACAGTGGTGGTGATGTAGTAGTGGTGATGATGGTGGGGGGTAGTATGGTGGTGGGGGTATGGTGGTGGTAATGGTAATGGTAATGTTAGTGGGGGGAAGGGTGGTGGTGGTAGTAGTAGTGGTGGTGGCAGAGTGGTTCCAAACACTACTTTTTTAAAAAGTATTTATAAGAAATTATAAGTATTAAAAACACTTATTAAAAGTCACCCTAAATATATCTTTAGGGACTTATTTTTCCTAAATTTAGAGTATTAATATTAGTTGTCGGATTAATTTTATAGTAAAATTAAAAAAAATCTTAACCGTGAATAGCAAAAGTCATTTTATTTATCTTTTGATATTTAAATTATATTGTTATTTATTATATAGATGTTATTTACTAAACACGAATATGTATATGATTCATTTATGAATTCCATATACACAAAGATGGGAATTAGGTTTAAAAAAAATTGATAAAACCAATTCAATTCCTTACACCAAACCCATGCTCCCTAGAAAAATGGGTTTGAACAATTAAAAATAAATAATACTCCAAAATCATATACGGTCGCCTCTTAATTTTTTTTCAAAAAATATTAAAGTTATCGGTAAGTATTTCCGTCCCGTTGGTTAATTACGTTGAAATCTGTTGTTTTACTTTTCCTAATACACTCGCCAAAAAGTAACAGGCGAGTGTATACAAAAATTGATCGAGCGATTTTTTTTTGTTTTTTGAAATCCTATTGGGCTTAAGAACAATCCTACAAATTTTTTTGGGGGTGTTTGGATGGTCGGTCACGATTGGATAAGATTTCATTTTTATATCCAATCTTATCCAATTCAAATCCATTTAGTCAGTTACATTAGATGGGTTATGTGTTAGATTCAATCTAACCCATCGTTTGGTCGGTAACATTGCAATTCTGTGAGACCCATGGATTATGCCATTGCTTTAAGATGAAAAGCAAGGGCCAACTTCTCTATGCATGACTAGATGACGCAAGACTGGACAAGCCCAGTCTTTGTCCATGACGGGCTCGACCCAAGTGGGTACGTCAAATGTGATCACTCTCTCTCCCCTCCTTCTTGATAAGGATTTTGAAGTTGATGATGGATAATTTGATACGAAGGTTCTAGTCGCAATGTCAAGTCACCAATCCATGATTAAACGAAAAAACTAATTAAAATCTTATTTATAAGTTTAATAAGATACGTGACATGTCCACATTTATTTGCCACTTTCTCGCCTTCTTTTTTGTCAAAGAATATGGTGATTAAACAATGGACGAAAATGACATCGAATTTAAAAATAAATAAAATCATGAAAGAGTTGATTAGGGCAGGGCGGCTCAAGTCAATTTAAAGAATAAAGTGGAATTATTAAATGGAGTCCTTTTTATTTTTAATATTATTTTTTTAAAAAAATTAATTTATTTTTTAATTTTTTATGTGAGAGAGAGATAAAAGAATGATGTGCTAATATTGTCGAGAAAGAGATTTCAACTTTTATTTTTGTTTTTTACTACAGAGAGGAAGAGAGTGTTTAATTTCAATTTTTTTTTTACTGAGGACAGAGAGAGAGGGTGAAAGTAAATATGAGTTGACTTTTGAATATTTTTTAAATTTTTTAAAATTTTAATGTTATGTATTGGATTATAGCCCAAATTATTATAATAAAAATTTTGATTGGATTTAATTTTTTGAATTTTTTTTTTGTAGGGTTTAAAATTTAAGAATTTAATTTTTTTTGTAGACGAATGATGTACATAAAATTATGACACCATTTAAAAATTGAAATCCTAAAACTCTTACTTTTTTTTCCGCACAGTTAGGCCGGCCCTGGGTTAGGGGAGCCTCTAATTAAACTAAAAAGTAGTGTCATTCAAACCAATTCTCATACTCCTCTATTCCTATGTTATCTGTATAATCAGTTTTCATTTTAACAATCTTCGAAAGAATTAGGTTTTACCTTCTTGGATTTTTCGCACTTTTCACTCTGAAAAATTTTAAGTTTTTTATTTTACACCTTTAAAAATTAAATTTATTACATTATATTTTCAAAGTATTAAAAATATTAAAAGGATAAATTATACTTACACTCCGTAAACTATTATTTTTTTTTTCACTTTGTCCCCTCAACTATCAAACTTTGCACATTGCATCCTCAACAAACATTTTTATTTCAGATTGCCCCTATAGCAAATGTCTGTTATCATTTATCAATGAAAATCGCTAATATGTTGGGGTAAAGTAAAAAAAATATTAAAAAATTTGAAGATCAGTCCTCCTATATAGACTTATTTAGAGATAAATCCATCAAGGAAACTTATTTGATTTTAAATTCTTTTTTTTGTCAAATTTTCTATTATGGACATAATAACCAATTATATACATCTTCTTCATAATTGCCTTTAAATTCGACTACAATCTTCCAAGTAACAATGTTTACTTATCCGAAAAACAAGAAATCGACATTTACCAAAAATCGTTCATATTCAAATTTCAAACTCATTACATTCCATAAAATACAATTTCAATTTATTATTTCAGTTTATTTTGGACTCTATCGACAAAATATTAATATTTAAAAAATAACAATAGTAACATACTCAACAAAGACAGTAACATAGTTACTAAAAAAATAGTAACATGCTCACAACAAATTTGTAACATTGTAAAAAAGTAATAATAATTCGGAATTTAATTCTGTTAAAGTGGGCATTAACCTTGTAACCAAAATTCAAGAAAACTCATACATAAGTACTAAATTAAAGTGTTGTAGATTTCGATTTTATTGATTTTTTTTTTTGCGCAAGACAATCAAGTATTCCTTAATTGTATTACTGTGGAAAAAATTCATGCTACTATACGTGAATCATAAAATAGAGTTCAAATTTTGATTCTTTGATATTCACAATTGATATTGAATGTCGTAATTCAACTGTTGATTGTATGTTACTACTCGTCATTTTATAAATTTTTAATTTGTGGATCGTATTTTCACTAAAATCATTCGAAAGTTAATGTTACTATAAAAAAAACTATTATCTTATATTTTGTAAAATTAGATGCGTTACTGAGTACAAAACTTTGATGTTACTGTGAATATTAAAGTATATGTTACATAATATACGTCTCAAAATTTATAATTATATGTTAAAATTCATTACACTAACATTAGTGTTAGTATAGTAACACAACTGTACTAGTAACACGACCCTAATTGTATATTCAATCATATAGTAACATGAATATTACTATATATTAACATTCGTGTTATTGAACTCTATTGACATTGTTCAATCTCCCTTATATTATGCATTACTATTGTTAAGAAATTTTTGTGATCTAATTTTGACTTAATAAATAAATAATTTATTCGTATATTAAACTTCTCATATATAATTATCAGAATATATAACTTTCATATAAAACTTCTGTTAATTATCACAATATTTAATAAACGTTTTTCATATATAACTTAATCAAGCGTTTCCATATATACCTCAATAATCTAACTTACGTGACTTTCCACAACTGGACAAAACTAACACCGTTGTGGGTAATTTTGAGATTTAAAAAATAAGTGCACTTAAGTACCTACATGTAAGTTTAAACATAAACTTACTCCCAAATAAGTTTCATTTTAAAACTCAAGTCATTATAAGTCTATCTAAGGGGACTTACCCTCAATTTTGACAAAAAATTTACATAATTTAGGATAGAAAATAAAATATTTTTTTGTTAAATATGTAACGGACATTAATAAGTGGGACAATGTAAAACTAATGATATAGTTGAGGGTGTAATGTAATAATTCAGATAGTTGAGGGGTTAAAGTGAAAAAAAAATTGATAATTCATAGAGTGTAAGTGTAATTTACCCATATTGTAATATAGACTTAAGGTCAAAAAAAATAAAAAAAATATTAAGATACGATTCATACAAATGTCGTACATGGTATGAGACAGCAATACGAGACTAGTCCTTATCCAGATGGGGTCATGTCATATTAAGTAAGGGGGTTAGAATTTAGAATGAACAAATTCCCAGCTTAGGCCTGGAAGAAAATTAATCACACAAATAAGGAATAATAATTTGATCCAGTCGATAAATCTAGTCAATATTTTAAGCTTATGTAAGATTGTTCTAGTAAGTATGATAAATGACTAACATTTACAAAAAATGCTAACCAGATGAATTCTTTGATTTATTAGTCTAAGAGATTCTTCAGAGAACTATTACTAAAGTTTCAACCAAACAAGAATTTTCTAACAACCAAAATTCTTAGTTTGATCTTGAATAGTGTACAAGTTAAAAACTTTGATTATCTTCAATATGTATTTTAACGAGCTTGAATAAATCAAAGGCCAAACAAGAATTTCCTAACTACTAATAGTCTACAAATTGTAGAGGAGTTATTGAGACGTGTGCAACTGTGCTTTCTCCCTTGACCAAGAAAGGCACTACTTACAGGGCAACATCAGATGGAAAGACAAGCCATGCTGGTCCTTGCTCGGTTGGTTGGGATTGCTTAATTTCTAGTCTAAACGCTTGCAGCTGGCGTGAACGTGAACGTGAACGTGAACGTTCTTCTTTGGTTGCTTGATCTATCAATCATATGTATGTTAGCCTGGCCAAATCATGTGGCCTTCTTTTGACGCAACAACACAAGCACATGGCGCAACTTCGGATCACCGCCAAGCCACCAGACGAAGAAATCGGTAGGATGAAGTCACGGATTGTCCTATAGTGGGGGCAATTAATAGTTTGAGAAGAACAACCACATAATAATCATCAAATTTTTTTACGAATTTGAATCGATTTTCAAATAACAATCACATGAAATTTCAGATCAATTTTTACGAGATCCGAATTCAATTTAAAAATATTTTTTAATCTGATTTGAAAATTCAGCAATTTTTTTTGAATTTATATCCAAATAAAGTGAATATTACGTATTCAAGGGGATACTTGAGTTATTTACAGTTCAATTTTATTAAATTATTAGTTATTGTCTGTGCCTAAAGGTACAAAATAATAAAAAATAGTAAAACAATAAACATATTTGTATTAATATCCAAAATTAAATCACAAATATAGAGAAGAGATAAAAAATTTAAGCATCGGTATGTAATGAAGTTGAAAGTTGGTGGACGGCAATGGTGGTGATAGGAGACGGTAATGGTTGTAGTGGGTGACATTGACCGTGGTGGTGGTGGTGGCAACGATGATGGTGGTGCGGTGGCGGTAACAGCGATATTGGTGGCGGTAACGATGGTGGCGATGGTTGTGGGCGGCAGTGGTGGTGTTAGAAGATAGTGATAATTGTGGTGGGTGGCAAGGGCGGCGGTGATGGTGGTGATGACAGTGATGGCGGATGTGGTGGTGGTGGTGGTGGCGGTAGCGACGGTGGTGACGGTGGCAACGGTGGTGGTGGCAGCTCTGGCGACTCTGGCGACGAGTTGTTGTGATAGTGATAGTGGCAGTGACAGTGGTGAGGGTGGTTTCAAACACAATTTTTTTTTTAAGTGTTTATGAAAAATAATTTTTACAAATACTTTTAAAAAGTCAATCTAAACATACCCTTAAAACTATATTTTTTATATTAAATTTAGGGTGTTAATATTAACCGTTAGATTAACTTTAAAGTAAAATTTAAAACGATATCAACTGCGAATAGTAAATGTCATTTTGTTTTTCATTTGAAATGTAAACTACTTTATTATATAGATATTTTAGTTCGATTTCGATTATATCAAGAAATACTCAATTTCATTATATATATATATTGCCTGTGCCTGAAGGCACAGAGTAATAAAAAATGATAAAGAATAAATATATTTGTATTTACATCCAAAATTAAATCATAAATATAGAGGAGAGATAAATGCATTTAAGCATCGATTGTAGAGGGGGTAAGAGGTGGTGGGCGACAGTGGTGGTGATAGGAGACGGTGATGGTTGTGGTGTGTGACACTGATCGTGGTGGTGATGGTGGTGTGGTGACAATGGCGATGATGGGGTGGTGGTGGCGGCGGCAACGGTTGTAATGGTAGAGGCAGTGGTGGGACGGATTCAAATACTATTTTTTTAAAAGTTTTTATAAGAAATAATTCGTAGAAATATTTTTAAAAAGTCACTCCAAACACACCCTTAAGAGCCTATTTTTTCTATTAAATTTAGGATGTTAATATTAGCCGTTAGATTAACTTTAAATTAAAATTTAAAGCGATCTGAACTGCGAAAAACAAAAGTCATTTTGTTTATTTTTTGAAATTTGAATTATAAACTATTTTATTATATAGATATATAACTCCCAATTTATCGTATTTTGATCTAAATTTGGATTCAATTATGTTGGATATAATTTTACTATTTTTTTTGACACAATCAAACCATAACCCATTACATCATATATTGCAGTTTGGGATTTATATTATTAATATTTGATCAGAATGTAACTTGATTCAAATTATATATAAATATATAGAAGTATATAATGAAATTAAATAATTATTTGGTCCAATTGAGTTTAGGTTAATTAAATAATTATTTGGTTAAATTGGGTTTAATTTCAAATATAATTAACAAAATTAAATTGCAATTGAGATATTTGGATCAAGTTAGACTTTAGCTTGAAACTTGCAGAACGCAATATTGATTCCTTGCTTTTATTCTTGCAGTTTAAACAACATTTTCAACAATAGAATCAACTGAATCAAAGTGACCACTTGTCGATTCTGTTAGATTGATCTTATTTCAACAAATAATTTACAAGTGCCAGAATCTCCAGAAGGGAATGAATCATGATAAATGGAAAAAATGTTACACATTCCATTTTTTTTTTTTTACATTTCCTTTCTATCTTTTACTGACATAAATCACAATTAGACACCTATTTCAAATTTCTTCTCCCTCTCTCAGTACAGTGGACAAGACTTCCACAGTTACGAGGTCTGAGGAGGATCAGGTGTAAGCTGTTCCATCTGATCTTCCGAGAACTTTAGGAGATCAGCCTGAAGCTTGCCATGCTGCTTAGATTGATTCTGAGACCAGTAGCCATGTGCTGCCAAGACTCTGTCCAAGAGCTCTTGTGGCACAGGCTCCCCCCTCCTTTGCTGGGCGGAGATGCTAGCTGTGTGGACCAATGTTTTCCATTTATCCTGTATATGCCCATAAAACACACATCACATGGCAATAATTGTTAGGCAGCTAATGCAGATTTAAAGAACCTGTTTGTATTAGATATAGAGTAAATCCAAAGACAACCCATGTGGTAATTGTCTTGCCTTCCCAAGCAATCATTAAAAGCTCGCGGAAGATTCACCACAAATAGTCAAGTACTATGCACCTACGAAAATTCTATAACCAGCCAAAAAACAGGTGTATAGTTGCGTGACAACGAGAGGTCTGCTAAAATTGAACATGCAAGAATGAAGGATAGTTATGAAAATAGTCAACAGCATGCTTATGTGCCAAACCCAGCAATATTCTAAAGCTCTGTAGACGTCATCTGATTCTTTCGATCTGTGTCTGTTTGTTTATACGAAGCAAATGAAGAAGAGACACACCTACTGTTATAACCATGGCTTCCCACACTTTATTACACTCACTGCCCATCTTCTTACTAACGATAGTCATTATCCATATAAATTGAACATGCCCACAGATGTGATGGATCTCTTACCTTCAGGTCCACGTAAGTTCGATGATTCGCACTATCAAAAGAACGTATTTTAACATCACGCCACCTGCAGAATCGGTGTAGTGTTAGAACTCCAAAATCCCAAAAAACATAATAAGTCTCCTCATTGAAGAAAAAGACAAGACAGTTAGTTGTTCACACCCAGAGCCCGAACACCCGACTGCCAGGCAAACCCTATGGGCATGTAGGAGAGAAGAGAGAGTATGGGATTTAAGGGAATAAGCGATATGTTCAAAGGCTAATGATATATTTACACACCTTCCAGTTCCAAGTTTCTCAACGGCTTCAACCAGTGCTTCTACTTCTATCACAGAGAAAGGTCTCCTAGTTCTACGCTGCGAAAGAATAGAATGCTTAGTTTCATGGTTCATGGGAACCACAGCAAGTGCCTCAACACTCATAGGTGGAACGACAACCAAGGCTTTAGAATCTCGGACTGCTCCATCTGTTAGTGCATTAGCTGGAGACGGAAGTAATTCATGAGTACTCTCAACATGGTTTCCCGTGTTAGTCACTAGAGGAGGAACACCTGAAGCATGAGGAAACCCCAACTCCAAAATCGTACTAGATAGGGACCTGAAAATAAAGTAATAAAATGTTAACAAAAGAAACTAAAACACTGGCACATCTCAACTTAATGGAGCTAAAATAATAAGAGAAACATAATACCATCCCTATTCACTGCAACAAAACATATCACGTGCAACAAAAACATCCTTCTCCCTACCCCCAAAAATAAATAAAAACAGAGAAGAATAAAAGAAAAAGAAAGTGGTAATGTAAGTGTACATCAATTACTCCATGAGAGACAGCAAATAATCTCCTTAGCCTTTTGAGCCTAAAAATAACAAAACGAAATGAACCCAACTGTGAAAGAGAGAAAACCTTCATTTTTTGAAGTACGGCCAACCAAGAGATAAATAGTTTTCAGTAGGTAAGCAGCAAAGATAGAGGGAAAGATGGTAAAGGCATCCCCTTTTATGCATACTCTAAATATTAGTAGCCTGAAAAAGAGTGACAACTACACTCTCTACTATCTACTATCTAGGCATTCTAAGGCAACAAGACAGCTGAATGAATACAAATTCTAATCCAGGAAAAACTCATTTACAGCACTTCGTATTACCTGGGTGATTGTTGATGTGCCTCACATGGTACCAACATGGGAGTATCTTTAAGAGGTGTAGTAGTTTGAGAGAAACTAGGCTCCAATGTAAAACCTAGAGTATCAAGGTTGCCACAATGAGAAATACCAGTCTGCAGCAGAGTTCTGTTGTCATCTCTGACCTTTTTTCCCTGGAGAAGTACACCTACACGTAATCCACCCCCAAGTATAGCAGTCACTGTTTCCACAACTGTCCTCTGTAAAACACACATCACATTGACAACAATGAGACAGAGAAATCTCTATCAGTACGTGACAGCATTGCAGATCAAATTTGTGACCAACACAATGAACTTGGGGCAATATTCCCATCAATAGAGTCAGACCACGGCTAACATAAAATTCCTGTCATGCCATCTCCGTGTAAAGAATAGCAACAGGATCCCCCTTGAGATCACTTGAATAGATAACAATTCCATTTGTTAAGTTACATTTTACTAAATTCGATGGAAATTGTTTTCTGCAAAATTGATTGCAATTGAACATCATTTAAATTGTATTGAACAAAAAAAAAAGAACAAATCGAATGGGCGCATATTCATATTAAATGAGACCAGTAAGAGGCTGACTTGGCATAAAAAATTTATGAAAAGAAGAGTGCCCCAGGTCCTTCAAAGGAAGAATTCTGAGGTAAAAATAAGACTAGCAACATCACTTATATATAATGGAACATGAGATTCGGAACATACATGACAGTTCCAAACAGAATAAGGAAAGAACGCATACCTTCAGCGAACCAACAGTTGCAGTTTCTGGTATTTCAATATAAAGCTCTGGCACCCTGAAGGACTTGATGCTAAACTTCACTGAATGAACAAACAGGATGCATGTAAGAAACTTTCCATGGCCATGAGAACAATTTAACCAAATAAACAACTATTCCAGTACCATGACAATCCTTAGACTGAGAAGATGCTTGATGGCCTTTAACAGAAGTTGACACTCTGTTTGCTGCACAGTATGCCATCATTTAGGAAAACTGTGGACCACCATGAATCTTAAACTCAAACATAAAAGAGCAGAAAGCACCTCTGTGAAAGAATGCAGCTGAGCCACTCTTGTCTCTCTTCATGTTCTTCTCAGGTATATTAGATATACTTTCACTACTGGCCTCCTGATCATGTACATCTGTTGAGCTATGGTCAATAAGTTTCCTCCTCTTAGAAGGAGCTTCATATTCACACCTTTCGTGTGTGTAAATGGTTTTCCTATTGCGGCAAATGGACTTCATCCTCTGATCTAAAGATGCCAAAGTAATTGACTTAACAAAAGAAAGATCCAATGAAGTTGAATGCAAGTATATCTGTATATAGCAGAACACTTACCAGTATTAGATAGTTCATAATCCTTCAACTTTGGAGCTACATTCCAGTATTTAGATTTCAGCATCTTCCTTAATCTTCGGTAGCCTATACATGATCGAGGCCTAAAGGCCCGTTTCTTAGTGCTTGGTTGATTGCACCTAAAAGAATTTTCATCATCATCTCTAGTAACTAACTTTACATCAATCCTATGCTTGGGAAAAGAAGCGTTAGGAACAGCACTACTATACAGGGGCAACTGTACACTACTCTCTGAACTAATCAGTGCACGAGTATTCACACATATTTCTGTTGGATCCTTTGAACCACAGGTGTTAGCGGCAGTCAAGTCTCCATTCTGTTTCTGTACAGCCTCTACCTGTCTTTCCATTCCATTCTCCATTTTGCAGTCAGATGCTTCTCCATCATTAGAGCAGCCTCCATCTGCTTTAGTGGGAAAATTTTCAAGAGCAGTCTTGCTTTCACCGATTTCCAACTTCACATCACAAGCAACGTTCTTGGTGAAATTAGGACTAGTAACATTAGAAGTGCGTTCCAAGGCAGAACCACTCTTGCCATGTGGGAACTCTTTAAGACTTGACTTCAAACTGGAACCTTGAGCTGTAGCTTCAGGAATAAATACATTTTCTATGCAGCTTCCCTGATCAAGGCACTCTGATCTGAAAGCTTTACCTTCTTCTAGTAGTTGCTGTTTCGGCCCATGTTTATGAATGCAAAACAGATCTTTTCCTCCTGCTGCATTACTTGAAGCAGAACTTTCGCTCTCATGCAGCAATTTTCCAGCTACGGCAGCCAGTAATTCGAATGCACAAATTTGGCTATCCTCCACTGATTTCTTCTGTGAAGCCCTCCTCTAAAACCAATAAACATCAGTTTTTAGGCACACAATATCATGGGATCAACACATCATTTTAAATAATACTTACTCTTATTGATCTGGGAGCTCTAGGTATAACAGGGAGATGGTAGCCGTTGAATTCATAATTTAACCTTTTCTTCAACACCATATCTTATGCATACATGCCAATAAGTGATCATCAAACGCAATGAAGAACCATTACCAGATCAACCTCAATCTACAAAATTAAAAAATAATAATAATCGATAAACAAATTAATGTAAAGAACATGATGTATCACCACACATTTCACCTCAGTTGACAAGGTGTATTCATGTAGGAAATGTACAATATTTTAAAATTAAACAAACATAAGAATTGCCAATTCTAAAGGTTCTCATTTTTCAAAAATAACAACATAATACCCATAATTCACACTGTGAGATCTTCATAAAAAATAAGAGCTGCCCCTTCAAGCAATGATGAAATTAAGATAGAAACAATAATATTCTCAAAATAGAAATCCTCACTAAGCATAAATTACACATTGTCTGCACATCATACAGATATTAACATATAACAAGATCAAAAAGTTAATGATTCAGTCAACCTTGTCAATGAAATAGTTACTGGTTTCAAAAAGTCCACCTACATCTCTTCTCTCCAATTGCAATATATCGCCAACAAAAATATGAATTCTACTACTCATTTTCTCTCGACTCAATTTGCAAGTAAACAGAAAAATGGTGGTAGGGGGAGGGTGGGTGATGAAAAGCAAACTGGGGATCATGTAAAATCGTAAGGACTTAATGTGGCGGTTCAAAAGATCTTGCACAACCCATCAAAAGGTACAAGGTAATGATAACAAACAAGTTAACAAAAACAACCAATTCATCAAAAATTATTGAGAACACTATTTAAACCTTATATTGGATCTCAATTCACTGAAGTACGACCAATCAGCAGAAATTCAGACCACTCAATGAAAGCCTGTCTCAGTTGCATAAGCCTAAAGCAATGGCAACGGAACCTGGACCGAAACTGTTTGGTTGTTTCAAAACAGAACCTATTCGAAAGTGATCAAATAAGCAGAGACCCATTTGACGAAATCTGATCGGATCTCTGCATGATCGAGCTAAATTTCACAGTAAAACCGTGTCGCCAGAGTCCGATAACTTGAATTTCAACGTAGATCACACCAAATCTTTTACAAACCATAATTTAAACGAGATAATCCAATTCGCGACCATATTCGAGCCAAATTCATAAAATGCGAACACAAGAAGCATGATCACATGCATATATACAAATCATACGATCGAATTACCTCTAATATCGATCTCTATTTTAATGTTCAGATTCGCTTGATTTGTATAAGAATTTTGAAGTAACGTCACGAAAACTATTTGATTCTGTCTCTCTCTCTCTGCCTCTCTCTTTTTCGAATAGTTTTTATCTTGTGGACAAAAACCTCTGGGTTTGAAAGCCACGGAGAAACCAGTGCTAAAACCCCCCCTAAAGGCCAGGCTTACATAGTCAGTTAATGGCCACAGAACCGGACCAGCCGGTAATCTCACTCTCTCTCTCTCTCTCTTGGACTGTTAAAAAGTTGGTTGGGCCACTTCCTAACCTCCCTCTGTCAACTCACAACCGTTATCTATCTCTCAGAGAGGTTTTGACACGCGGAATACTTCTCTTGTCTGAATTGCCATCTTGAGATCACAATACAAAGCAAGAATTTTTGTATCAAGGCAAACTAAGAGTTAGCCTATAAAAATTAAATAGTTTATCATATAATTGTTAATAGAATTAACTATTTTATATTATATTTTTATTATTTTTTATGAATGAATACGTGTCTTTATTCATAATATAATATAACTCTACAATTCTAATTATTTTTTTTTGAATTTATCATTTGGGCACTTGCTCAAATTTTAAAAATGACACAAATTTAATCCCATATCATTATTGATTGGAACATAATAATTTATTTATCATCATTTGTTTAGCTAAAATTGACCAAAATTAAAAATAAACAATGATTGGTCCAACTACTCTCCAATCCCTTATCCTCTATCCCCTCCCTCCCTATCTTATCGCCAAACACGGCAACCCAGTGTCCCTTGTCAAAACCCTTCACCTTTATCTTATAGAGTGAAATTTTCCATAATATATATTTTTATTTTTAGGTTAATTGCAAATTGTACCCTTAAAGATTATTCGAATATCAATTTACACTTTCAAAGATAAAAAATCCCAATTTACACATTCAAATATAGAAATTTGTATCAATATGCACCCCCAAAGATCAAAAATCTCAATTTGCACCCTAAAATATTATAATTTGTATTAATGTGCACCTAAAACTAAATTGATAAATTATACCTAGATCCCTTTATACTTGTCACTTAATCATTTGGACTCATTCACATTTAAAATATTACTCCTACATCTCATGACGTTTATGCACGTGTAACACGTAACCCCTTTTTGTTAATATCTATTAATAAAATAGTTAAAAAATATGATTTTATCCTAATAAAAAACTATAATTTCATATTACCATTTATTTTATGGGTACAATATACTCTAAAGTTTAAAATCAAGTTTACCATTTGAATGTCTAATAGAATAAAGGGTTGCACATTGAATAATATATTATATTGGATATAAAAAATATTATATAAATATCTATATTTTATTAGACATTCAAATGGTAAGCTTGATTTTGAACTTTAGAATATATCGACCCACAAAAAAAAGGGTAATATAAAATTAGAATTTTTTATTAGGATAAAATCATATTTTTTGACGGTTATAGTAATATGTATCAACGAAAAAATGATACGTGTTACACGTGCACAAACGCCATGAGATGTAGCAGTAATATTCTAAATGTGAAGGGGTTCAAATGATTAAGTAACAAACATGAGGAGATCTAGGTATAATTTATCAATTTAATTTTAGGTGCACATTAATACAAATTTCTATTTTTGAGGGTGCAAATTGAGATCTTTTTTGATCTTTGGGGGTGCACATTGATACAATTTTCTATTTTTGATGGTACAAATTGAGATTTTTGATGTTTGGGGGTCTAAATTGAGATTTGAACTATATTTTGGGGTACAACTTGAAATTAACCCTTATTTTTAATATGAATTTAAATGAAATTCACTATATACAAGTGGTGAATAATTTATAAATAATAAAATATTGAAATGAATTTGAATCTCCACCACCACTACAACGACAAAATATTTAACATAACGATAATATCACATCATTATTACATAATCTAATCATTGAATAATAAGTCTTTGGTCTATAAAATATCACTTCCTAAATATTTTAGCAACCATAGTTGCACGTAATACAATAACTATTTTGTAAGGTGGCCTTTCCTGATTGCCTACCAACACCCCAGATAACACCCATGACTACATTTGATATCTGTGCGTGCATGTTCTTACACAATATAAACACAAGAACAAATCTCTTTCGTGGTGAACACAAGTCCGTCGATCGAGTAGTCAATCTTGCCACTTGGAATAGGTTGTGAGGGCCGAAGGTGGTCTGAGAAGTGGTGATGAATTATTTTTATGAGTCGTCTGACTCGTCCTGGGAGGCTAAGAGAGATTCTTGGAACAGAGAAAAAACAGGTTAGAAAGGCGCCGGAGTGTTTTTCGGCGTTTCTCATCCGATGATCAAGTCAGTTCTTTGAGAAAGGAGAAAAAGAAAACATTATATGATGCTTGAGAAAGGGTTTTTGCGTACCTCTTTAACGTGATTGTGAGGACTATTTATACCTTGCAAAATTCATCATTGCTGACAACATAGCTAGTAGGTAATCATTAGAGGTGGGCAGTGTGCACACCAATTTCTATGAGAAATATCCTCATTCTTAACTGTTCGGGACTCCGAACAACTAATGGTTACTCCTCGGTCTATCGAGTGTTTAATGATCTTCCCTCGATAGGGATGTGTTAAATGCCCACGCATAGGAATATTTATTACATTTCACTTCCAGGCTCTTATGCATTAAATGTTGTTTCATTAAGGGAAGGATGCAATAAATGTCTGCCCTCCCAAGTCGTGTGTCAGCAAGGGCTTTCTGGTCTTTTTGTTTCTGACTTGACATAATGTGCCATGTGCCCATTCCCTTTTGGTTGAGCCTTCTGTTTTCCTGCACCTCCTGACATCATTTGAGTAGGACGATGTTATGATGGCTAGTCTAGCCCAGCCTAGGCCAGTAATCTGTCAATCAATAGCCCCTACAGGAGCAGAAATGCCCACGTGGACAGATACACCTTGGTGCCGATGGACTAGCATGATTAGGGACCGATATACCCAAATTGACCGAGGGATACGTGTCGGTCCATGGCGTATTGGGGATCCTTGATCCTTGTGAATAGTATCCTCGGGAAAAGGGGCTATAGACTGATGAGGATGTGTCGGGATCACAACAGAGAGTCTCTATTGGCGCCAAGTACACGTGTTGTCATCTTGGTGTGTCTGAAAATATCTCATCAACTTTCCTCCAGCCTTCGATCTTCTGATACAGAGGACACGCGTCGTAAGAAGACGAAGGGTTCTGCAATTGTCCCAACCACCCCATCATTACTTCCAGTCATTTTTCGCCGCTTAGGAGGTCGTGCACATTAAATGTGCTTTTTCGTGCTTCGTGCCCAATGATGGAGACGGGTATTATATAAACGGGCTTTCTCTCTCTTTCCCACACTTTTACCATTTCGAACTCTTAGAGAGCTTTCGCCGAAAACTTCGCTAGAGACCCCCTTGTCACATCGTCTACCAATCAGTCATCACCAGAGTTTAGACTGACAAACCCCCTCTTGCTTCTGAACCTTCTCGAGAAAGGGACCATTCCAAGTTCTTCAGAAATCTTCATTTGCATTCTGGTGAGTCCTTTCATCCTCATTCTGGGTTTTACTTTTCATTTTTCGGTAATCGAAGGTGTTTCTGGTTGTCATCGTTTGACCAATCCTCAGGAAATCTCTTGGGGTTCCTTGTAGGAAAACTCTTTTTCCTTCTCCCTTTTTTTTTTTTTTAATTAGAGATGCCTGGACGCCGCTCTGCCACTGAGACCCCCCAGGCTAGTTCCTTGAGGCCAGGAAAGTACAGAGTGAAGGGAGACCAGCAGATCAATAG